TCAATTTCTCCCTGTGTGTGCCTATGGCACATTTCTGCTATACCTGCAAATTGACACACACCTACAAGTCAGGGATTTGAGTGTATAAGAAGAATTTACATTCATGAAGCATTTTTACTCATGAAAAAAAATTAATTCTTGGTAAGGATCTTCCAAGAAAAACAATCAATTTCAAGGAATGTAACAATTAATGCAAATTTCACAATTGAAAGTGAAATTCATTCTGGTTTAAATTGAAATTTTGTGGCAAATGATCAAATCCATGTGGGTGAGTTTCCTGATACCAATTTGTAAGACAAAACACTGCTGTTTCTTGTAAAGTTGATGGATCTTCTTCTTCTGAGAGGTATTTGATTAGTTGTATCTGAATCAATTGGAAACCTTTCCAATCTTTGTTTATCTCACCCTCCCAAGGTGCAAGATTCTCATCACTTTTGTAGAACCCAAATAGAGGGGTAGAGTCTTGAGAGCTGATTATTTTTCCAATTATCCATTCAAATAGGGTGTTTCTACTTTTCTCATATCTATATTCCTTGATATTAAAGTATTTGTAAGATCTAAGATATAGGTGGTTGACTGCCTTGAGTAGCTTCCTAAGCTTGCTTACTACCTGTAATGGTTTCAACATGCGTTTAATATGAGTATTTTCCAAAACAGTCAAGATCTTGGTTTCTGCATTATCCCTCAAGAAATAGGCTGAAATAGGTAATTTAGGATGGACACTTCGAAAAACATTACGTAGACTACCTTTCATAGATTTAAGGTGAGTCTCAAAGTCCAATAGACATGATGATGGGATCTTCTCCCTTCCAATTAAACACTCTTGATGATTAATCAGGCTAGAAAATATTTCTTTGCATTCTACCAAGTTCAACAAAAGTTGAGCATTCATTTTGAAACTTTCACTCATAGAAAAGTTTGAATCATCTTGAAGTTTGATACTTGATTCTGGAGAATTGACTGATGAGTTATTATTTTTATTTCATTTAGACACATTTTTGACAAGATTTGATGAATTAGCAATGAAGTCAATACATTGAATTTTGAATTATTGTAAACTCACTTGGATTTTTAGCTTTGAAGCTTTCCAACAAACAAGTAGCAGTGGCAAGTGCATGACTTTCATCTCCTTGAGAAAAGTAATCTATGAATTTGACCTGACTTTCCCGAAATTGATCCTTTGTTGGCCATTTGAGTTCTGATAAGCTTATATTCCCTACAATTGGATAACTTTGATCATTGTATCCACAAATTTCATCATTGACCCAATTCAAAATCTTTTCCTGCCAAACTGTGTGCATGAATGTTTGAATGTTGCAACTGTTCAAATATTCTTCATGGAGTACGTATATCCATCTGATCAAAGTGTAGTAGATTCCAAAAAATGTCTCCCTTTTTTTCGTGCTACCTGTGGAAAGATTCAAGATCCTTATTGCTGCTTGATCTTCCTTGAGCTGATATAATGCGATTCCTAATTTTGGATGGGGGACAATTTTTCTTTTCCCGTTGATAGGTTGGCGGTGAATCACCAAGTCAATTTGTTCGCAAAACTTATCATAGTGGGATTTGAGAAGCCATATTGAAACGTATCCCGCAATCGAGATATTTTTGGGGATTCCTCCAGTGGGTATGTCCCTTGGATTCAAATATTCACCAGCTGATCTTTTCCTTGTTGTTCCTCGAGGAAAATCGGCACTCTTCTCGTGCACTGATTGACTCGAGGGCGGTTCAATGCAACTCAGGAAATCACCTGTGACAGCTAGAGAAATTCAGTTGAATCATACCTGTCTCTCAGATAAATAAATTTTTCTAACCTCCCTCCATATCAAGCTTAGGATTTTTTTGGTTTATTGTCGTAAATATAGCGCCACTGCCTTGAGGTGCTTGATCTGATCCGACATGGCCCATAGGGATTCTATCATAGGCTTAAAACCGCAGAATTGATTAAATCGAGAACAGGCGATTTATCCCATTTGAAATGAGTTATTGGACAGGAGGAAATTACTCACTTGAACTCGAAGTCTGGGGGTTTCTAGCAGAATCATCAGATGGATTGGCAAAAGATGAATTTGGAAGCAGATCGTTTTCCAACTGAAGCAACAATCTCTGTGAGGTAGGAGAGAGTGGAGGCACGGGAAAACCTTCAGCTACAAAATCTGGCCATGTTGCTTGCCCAGTGGAATGAAAATAATGATCTTGTGGTGTATTCCATGAATTTTCCAAATCAGTTTCAGAAACTCTGGGAGAGGGCCATTGGCCAAGGGCGATATTGAAGTCCTCTTTTGAGAAACAACATCTTTTGGCTGGTCTGTTAGTTTCGCCACACTCAGAGGGCTTCAGGTTAACGAATTTGGTGGGTGAAACTGTTCCGAAAACATTAAAAATCAGCCTTATAGCATGACGCCGTTTAGAGATGGTCCCAAATAGCATAGTGAAGCCCTAAGATGAGAACCTAAAATGGAACTAGGCAATGGCAACTAATTTCAAGATCAGACTTTCAAGAATTTCTCCCCACCCAGCCATGATTGTAAGAAACAGCTTGCACTTTGATCACCCAAACTCCCTACGTCCCCGTTCTTTACGTGCTTCAATCCTCTAGGATTTGTATCTTGTTTGGCGCAGCACAACCGCCATCACATGTTGCATGTTATCCTGTTTAAGTAAACAGCGTCGGTTTCTATACTTTGCTGGTCACTTGAAGCATCAGTTGGGCTTTGTTTGCTGAAGCAGATGCATCATCAGTTGGGCGCTGTTCGCTGAAGCAGAGACAGATTTCACAAGAAGGATTATGGTGAGGAAATGTGTATAAATCATCAGGTTATGTTTGAGGCCATCTTGTTATGTACAGGTCATTGAGCGAGACCACTCCAGGCCGGAGCCAAAGTTTGATCAAGCTAATGTGTGATGGTACCCGAAGTACACAGAAGCTGCTTCCACAAAAATTTAATGTGAATAAAGAATTTGCCTTCAAGTTAAAAATTTCCTGGCAAGACATCACATGCCCACCTCCTTTGGCGAGGTCTTGTCACAAAACTGGCCCGAGGTACCCCGGGCTTCGGGGACTGGGGCGCTCTTGTAAGAACTTTAGACTTGCGCCTTCGCCAGGTGACGGAGCAGCTTGCAAGCAAAAGTCGACGTATTTAGGTACGAATTTCTCTTTAATTTTGGAAAGTATTTAGAATCAAGAGATTGATTTTGTGATTCTCGCCTGGGACCAGCGATGCGCACGATCTTGGATCTTCCGTGGGATTTGTTCGAGGACATCTTCAAGCATCTTAACAAAGAGGCGTTTCCGCTCAACCGATCCGATAGGGTTCCCGGCACAAGGACGATAACAGGAAGGTTGAGACTGGTCTGTCGTCAATGGGCAGATTGGTTGTATGTCAACTACCTCTACCGTACGATGACCTTCCGAGATGCTTCTCAAGCAATGCGTTTCATCGGCCAAACCACCAAGGACCCAACACAGCTCCCAAACCCAAGATGCCAAGAGCTTCAGATATTCGGTATTTTGACTTGGGGATCTCCACCATCCAACCGGGGATCAGCAAGAGTGGTGAGTAGACAATCCGGGAAGACAATCACTCCCGAAATCTTGGAAGCTCTGATCGATTTTTTCTCCGACACTGTCGTCGAACTCTATCTCCGATTTTGGAATGTCATCTCGCTCTCCACGCAAATAATAGGAAGCATAGGGCGCATGAAAAATTTGCGCGACCTGAAACTAGGTCACGAGCTGAAAGGATTTATTCCAACTCCACAACTGCATTTTCCTATGCACCACGATGATGACGATGATGAGTTTGAAGCGGATATGCGCCAGCAGAATATTGGAGAAATGGCCCTTGCCCACATGGTCGCCTACGACGCTTATGAGGATGAACCTCCAAGCGATATGGATCCCATCAAGTCGAAAATCGATCATGATTCTTTGAGGTCGTTGATTATGGCCACTCGGACTCTGGAGTCACTCGATCTACTTGAATTGGATCCTATCTGCCTCCCAAGGCCGTTCAACTCCGCCTTCCTTGAACATCAAATCCCGTCGACAATTACTCGCCTGGAAATCAGCATGGCGGGGGAGAGCTTGTCCAGACTTAGAGATCTCTCTTTGATTCTCAAACGAACCCTGAAAGTGCTTTCACTTCAAAATAGCTGGGGAGGTGACTATCGCGAGAAGCTCGTACCAATTTTTGAAAACCTCAGAGAAACATTGGAAGGGCTCTTTGTAACCGATCTGAACGACCTGACACCAACCCTTCAACTAGAGTTCCCGAAATTGCGTGTCTTCAGAGCGATCTTCTGGGATGGTCGTATTGGTCATTATTTGAATCAGCCTATGTTTTCATCCGCCCCTCTCGACGTGCTTGTGATTTCCTCCAAGTTACTAGACAGACCACAGACGGTAGAATTTGGGGCTCATCCTTTTCCGAAGCTGTCCATGTTAAGGCGACTAGTACTGTGTGAATGTCATCCCGATTTTGCGCTGCCACCAGAATACCTAGAGGCGTGTGTAGCCGGAAATGTTCAACCTGTTTATCTAAGCCCCTGGGATAATGATGATATATCCTCAATTATGGTCAGTTGATCTGGTCCTCTTTCTATTTGGTTCCCTCGGGAGCAAACTCTTAATTTAAGCCATGTGAATGATGCTCACGTTATTGGTTGATCTTTTCTTTTCAATACAGAGCTTATGAACCGTCAGTTTTGCATTGTGTTTGATAATGGAGTTCACCACTTTACTTTGTTGAATTTCTACCCATGCATCTTCCTAAAAGATCAAAATCCATTGATATCTATCAACTATCAAGGTCTTTAAAAGTTCTTGAGTCTTTGTGTTACTCGGAACAAACAAGTTCAGCGTTTACCCACCAAATCGTTTGGTCCCTAGCTAAAACAAATTCATCTGTTTATTTATTTATGTACCTTGTATCGACCTGCGGCCCTTGTAAGAAAATGTTATCCACAAAAAACCTGGTGTTTCCCAAACCAAGCTTTACACTGTTTTGGTTGGCCAGTCAACTATCATCTATACTGATCCTGCTATGTTGGCTGCATCAATACTAGGGGCACCTGGTTCAATATTTCAAGATGTATCAAGAGCTTAAACATCTATTGCTGAAAGATGGGTCCTAGAGTAGAAGTAGTTCGACATGTTGGGGCCCACATATGCAGTGTTCACCTACACCCCGGTTGCAGTGCGACGGCGGCTCGTCGGCGGAGGGGACGTCGGCTGAAACATGTCCGACCATGCCGGAATCCGACGGCGAATTGACGGTGGGGCGAAAAGAGACAGGCAGGTCGGATTGACCCTGACGTTGGCACTGCAGGTCGGATTGACTCCGACGGCATCAATGGGGTCGGATTGACCGCGACGACAGATGAGAGGTCTTTCTGACAGCCTTGTCTGCCGTCAATTTTGGTTCGGATTGACCGCGACGGCAGACGGGAGTGCTTTCTGACAGCCTTGTCTGTCGTAGATTTTGTGTCGGATTGACCTCGATGCCCAACGGCAGGCGGGAGGTCAATCTGACAGCCCTGGCTGCCGTAGATTTTGAGTCGGATTGACCCCGACGGCAAGATAATGGATTTATTTTGCCCGGTTTTTTTTTTTTTTTTTTTTTTTTTTTTTTTTCACAGATACTACAATTGGGATCTGCTCTAGATTTAGCAGTACATATATTTACTAGTTACATTGGGGTGCGGCTTGCTACCGATAGAAAAAGATACATTTATGTAGTTTATTTTACTACTTTTGGGGAGGGGGAGATGCGAACCGGGAGAGAAGAAGAAAAAAGTATGTACAGAGTGGAAAATGACTTGGAGGCGATTGTCGATGACTTTTTTGGTGAACAAAGAGACTCCGCTTGCCAATGATCAGGTTTGAGCAGGAGGGGCCGATTGCGAGGGCTGAGGAAGAAGCGATCTGGTCAAAGCATTTTCAACGTCTTGCATGCTAGGCATTACAATGCTGTCATGATCAAGATCCTTGAAGTTCTTTTTTTGAGAGAACAGTGATTTGTCCTTTTCCAGGACCATCTCGGCATGCCTATAGTTGAAGTCAAACAGAACGATATGATTAGCCCTATCGTTCTAGGATGTTGCGAGATGGACTCACTTCTGCTGGAAGGGGAGTGATTTCCATCGAAGATCATCCAATCGTTGATCGATCAACATCCATTGGGTGATAGTCTTGGGATAATGACCAAGATAGTGTGAGACCGTCTCCAATCGGAGATGACTGAATCGAATGTGTTGCCTCCAGGTGATTGAGACCGCTGCCTGAGTGGCTCTCTTGTGCCTTGGCAGGAGATCCTTGATGATCTATAAAAAATACAAACAATGTGATTAGCTTTTGGGTACATCGAGATTTGCAAGAAAGATATCTGACCAGGTTGATCAATTCTTCAATCGGAGGAACCACATCAGTCGGTTGAACTTTTTTGTTCGACAAAATCTGATTAAGAAGCTATAGGCAAATACATGAGATTAGAAGACAACATCAAGTAGTGTGAGAATGAAAATCAAGGCTTACAGTGTCTCTCAACTGTCCTCGAACGTGTTTTACCAAGTTGGCAATTACTTCGTGATATTGCGACTTTGAGTTGAGGTCGCTACCTTCAAATCCTTTCGGATAAAACTTCTCTTTGAATTCAGGGGTTTGCTTGTTGGCCACGCCCTACATAGCGAGTTGAGTAAGAGTAAGTAAAAAAGGAGAAACAACAGGTCAAAGTACATACTATAGTTAACCTAAGAAGGGATTTGGTCAGCGAGTCTGAATGCTTGTCAACAGTAGCAGTGTATGCCTCCACGTCTGTCCTTCCAACGAACGATCTTGCTGTTTCGCGGATGAAATCCTGAAGAAGATGGGAATCATCAATCCAACATTGATCAGGAAAGACTGGGAAACAACTTACTTTGAAGAAGTCCCGGACAGCATGATTGGCAGATCCACTCTTTGATGATCCAGACTCGAGACTCTGTGAAATTGAGGTGATTGCATAGAAGAGTCTAACAAACCGCTCTTCGGGAGGGCACTGTGCATGGAGCTGATGGTAAGAATAAGTCAGAAATCAAAAAGAAAGAAGAAATGCTTACTTTAGCAGCCTTCATAGCAATTGGAGCAAAGTGATCGTTCAGATGATACAAGCTTTGAAGCTCCTCAATCAGTAAATCGATTGGATCATCTGCATCTGCCATCCGCTCGTCTGTCACTTCATTATCTGAAGGATGATCGGTCTGATTGAAGATATTCGCGTGACTGGTATCATGTTGATCATGTTCTGCTGGATTGTTGATGTTGGTGTTGTTGTTATGAGAAGGGCCGGGAGGGTTGTTAAAGATATTCGAAACATCATCCTCTGATTCAGAAGTGGTAGACATGGCTTGGAAGAGGAATATGTGGACAATGCGCCCAAGAACAAACTGAGGATGAATGGATTGGAGGGAGAGAGAGAGGAGCGACCAGAGAAGTGAGGTGGAAGAAGACAGATGATCGTGATTGATTGTGATCGCAAACCAAACCCATGACGCAACGATCTGAATCCCTCATGTCAGAAACAGGGACAATTGAGAAGAACAAAAAAACCAATGCGAGCCGTTGAACTTTTTGATGAACAAATGAAAAATCTGTCCAAGTGTCATTTCACCTCAAGATTTCGAATACGTATCAAACATGCCGAGACATGTGGCTGTTGCTTTGGATGAGGGATGTAAGTCTCTTTAATTGGAAAAATGACTTGGAAAAACATGATGGATGACTTACATTTTGAAATCCAATCTAAAAGGCTTCACGGAATTTTCAACTCCAGAAGGCGATCGTTTCCGTTGCGAGATATGTAAAAGCCGGCTCCTCAAAGATAGATCAAAGCATTCAAAGCTGAAGTCCCATCAAGAACGAACGTCGGCCTCCAAGCAGCAATGTGCTCTCTCGCTTACAGCTGACCAAAACGTTACAAATACAACTGTGAATTTGGAGGATGAAGAAGGTCTCAGTCAGGAATTTCATAATGTCTTTTTGGATCGGACTTTTGAGAAGGAGAGAGAAGACAACATACACATGGAGAATGACTCGGATTCAGCTGAACACATCCGGCCTCCGCTAGAAGAATTTGACGAGCCGGCCCCCGCGGAGAACTACTGGGACTCAGAAGACGAATGCGAGCTGGATTGGATTGATATTCTGCCTGAAGATGAAGCTAATCACCATGGCAAAAGAGAACAAAAGAAAGGTGATGAGGAGAAAGAGAAAAAAGGAAAAGACTCACCTTGGTATCCCTTCCGGAACAAACATGTGAGCCAGATCCTCGAGTTACATCCTATGTGATGCTGACAGAGTGCTGGTTTCCGATTCCCAAAAGTATCTTGCCGGATCTTTGATTGTAGGATTCCTACATAAAATTGTATCACGCTCAATCTACCACTACATACGACAGATCCTCCTCATCCTGTGTGATGTCTACCTTCCGGGATATGAGGCCTTGCGAAGACAAAGAAAGAAAGTACGTGCTGCTGGACGCTACCCTATCAAGAAAAAAAATGCAAGCACGGGGAAGACCTGTTTTGCTCTCTCATTAGAAGGCATAGTGGCACAGGTATGGACATTGCTTCATTTATGTGCATTCTCTTCTGTCAGTTTGTAACTCACAGGTGTCCTTTTTTATTTTTTAGGAACTTTCTAATCCCTTAGTTGTACCGCATCTAGACTTCTTTCCCATTGATACAAAAGGGAAGAATATATTCAAGTTATCACAATCTAGGAGGTGGCTATCCGGCTTCTCACGCAATCAACGTGTTCAAATGTGCTCCTTGAACAACAGGCATTATTACATTTTTGAACCTGTAAAGCTCAAAGAATCACCAACTATTCTGATCCCCATTTTCTTTTACAAAATGGATGATAGATTTTTTTCAAAATGTTTCAAGCCTTCAATATCCTCAAGTAGTGCAAACGAAAATCTAGTCCTTCGTATCCCCTCGAATATCCTGTTTGAAGACTCAAACTTGATCACATTACCTGTGGATGACTTGGATCTGACATACTCAGAAATCAAGACTAAGAGTGGAAAAAAATTATCTGATCTCTGTGGAAATTGCATTGAAGGTTGGCAATAAATATTTCATTCATTCTTGGATGGTTTACTTATTGATATTATTCATTTTTTCAATATCTTTCAACCTAAAGAATCCAATGGCAGTCAGGTTACCACAATAAATCTCCCAAATCCCTGGCGGACTAAAGCACACGGTAGGATCATCCGCCACACCCTGTTATGAGCTGTGGAGGACTGGAACTGGGGACATTACATATGTAGAGAGCCTGTTACGTACATGTCACGAACTTCGAACTTGGAGTTCGTTCGAGATCCGAACCTTGTACATTCCTCATCTTGCAATCTACCATCAAGAACCAGAACCCTGGAGATCCCTTCCTGCTCTCCCCAGAACACCCATAACATATTGCAAGATCAACTTATACGGAGACCAGGAACGAAACACCCAGAACACCACCCCTCAAACCTAGAAAATCAACCCTGAAAACTCACCTCTCAAACCTTGAAAATCCTTCCCTTGAACTCATCTCAAACCTTGTCTATTAACCTTAAAAACTCACTCCCTACTTCCCTCTCACCCTCACAGACCCCTCAGGACCCCCCAGGAACCCTC